CCCCCCCTCCGGGCCTACATATAATTATATATATTTATATATATTTTTATATAAAAAAAATTTATTGGGTACTTAAACCCCTTGCACAATCCCAGGCAACAGGCAATAAGAACAGGAAATAACTAAAAAATTGTTAATTACAACCTAAAAAATTCGAATACTATAACTGGTTGGCAACAGGCAATGACTTTTTAGACGTTTATTAGTAAGCCTAAACAAACATCTCTATCAAGTTTCAAAACGTTTGGAATTATTTCTGTCAAATTTTTCATTTTGACTGGGCTATTGGCCCTTATATAAATTGATAATCTCAGAATCCCTTGTGCAGATTATACATTTTTCTCTGTGATGTTCATATCGCATTTATATACCTGCCTCGCTCGGCTTATTCTGATGCATTTGTTCTCCAGACTACTTGGTGAGTTACCATAGAATTTTTAATTAATATTTGGTGTAATAAGGTAACTATTTTTACAGATATGGATCTAGTAGTCTTTTTCAATTTCGTTTCTTGAAATCTCCAAGCAGGAAACTTACCACTTTGGAATGGAGAACTGTGCAATATTTTAATTTTATTCGTCGTTTGATATCGCTGAAGATGGCTCGATCTATGAGCTGAAACGTTTGATTGTAATTCATTTGGAATGGATTTGGAATAAATCAGTGATTCTGAATATTCTGATCATCTACGCACAGACAACTGCGTTTGACTCTCATAGCCATCCTATTACGAATTTATAAATTGATAATCTTTGATACTCATAATAATATAAGCATCGCAAAACTATACTTATTAATAAACACAGTTTATTTTATTTATGAAAATGTACGTAACCGACGTTTTGTTCCCCGGAAAAAATCTCCCGGAAATCAGTTCCCGGAAAAAATCTCTCCGGAAAAAATCTCCCCATCAAAAAATCTCCCCCGGAAAAAATCTCCCCCGGAAAAAATCTCCCCCGGAAAATATCTCTCCCGGAAAAAATTTCCGTGCCCAGCAAAAACCGAGGTGCCACATGGGTTTACAACTTTCCACGTGTGAAAAGCCCACGCACGTACTTCGCAAGGCACACTATGTGTATAGTTTAATGATAGTGGAGCCCCCCGCAGGGGGGCGGAACCTACTGCCTCCACGCATAGTTCACGCAATAGTTCACGCATACACTTTCCACGCGAACCGAGGTTCACGCACACACCCCCCCGTGCTTTCGGGGGAGGTGCGGTAGTCCCGAAATAGTTCACGCATACACTTTCCACGCGAACCGTTCTCAAATCTTTCTCATTATCCGTGAAAAATTTCGACTGCAGCAAAGCATCGTACGCGTAAGTGACATCGCAGGAAGAAACGAATGCCAATGCGAATAACATTCGCAAATTACGAGCTACGCGGCTGCTCTCGCGGTACAATGGCGCAAGGTCGTGATCTTGTATACTACGCCAAAGTGCTTGACCGAAATGGAATAAACACTCTTTGATTTCACACTCGGGAAATTCTAGTAGTAGTCTAAACACAGTACAATCAGTTGACGGTTCCGAATAATAACATATACAAGCATCAAATAAAGTCGCACAGTTTAGTGTAACGGCTTTTAAAAATGCCATTTCAATTTGAAATACAGTAGTACTGGAATTTTAAATGGGGAGATTTTTTCCGGGGGAGATTTCTTCCGGGGGAGATTTTTTCCGGGGGAGATTTCTTCCGGGGGAGACTTTTTTCGGAGGAGACTTTTTCCGGAGGAGATTTTTTCCGGGGAGATTTTCCCGGGAACTTATTTCCGGGGAGGATTTTTCCGGGGAGATTTCTTCCTAGAACCAAAATGTATAGAGGCTGTCTTCAGGAAATAAATCAAATGATAAAAAGGCAATTAGAGCACGTTTTAATTGCTGCACACAATAAGTTTAGGATTCTTAACTAATATACGTGAGAGACTACGCATATCAGCTAAGAACTGTAAACTCATTTTATTGTATAAACTTTGATTTACGTATGTAATTTGCGTTAAATTTTATGTTGTTACGTTGAGAATGATCCAAAAACAGAGTCAAAATGTCTATACTTAATTTGTATAATTATTAATATAATATATTGTGTATTATTTACTGTGCCAGGTTCTAATTTTCTTTTCATTATTTGATTAATTTCTTAATTTTTTTGTACAAATTTTTTGTGCCATTTGTTGACTTTTATAAATTTTACCAATGAGTACTGTCAGTCTCTTGCCCTAGTATAGATAAGTATGTGATGCCTCTGGCTAGTTTTAACATACGACCGCTTGTATAGGATATTCTATGGGAAGTTGCTGAAACCAATTAGCTCTTATTTTATGATGCATACAAGTATCGAATAAAATAAAATTGCGATTAATAGAAGACATTTGAATATAGGTATAATACAACATTTTTACTTAATTTTATTTGATTTTATAAATCTTAGCAAAATTAAACATTCTAATGATATATATTTTTGAAGTGTGCATTGTTATTATTTGAACAAAAATTAATTCTTAAAAGTGATTAATGGTAAAATAAATAATTATTTACATCAAGTTTTTTACAGTTTTCGTAAAAGATTTGATTTTTGCTCAAATAGTAAAAACTAATAATAATAACTAAAAATAAAAATAGGTAAATAAAGGGAAAAAATAAGAACATAAAAAATAATTGTAGTTCTGCAAAATAGTTCTGCTGTTTTATTGCATTATACAAACGCATAAATATTTTTAAATATAAATAATATATAAAACGTAAAACGTCCCAAATAGTAGAAACATATAAAAAAACTTTAGAAGACAATTTAGAAAAAGAAACTTAATGAAATGTAATTTTGCAACTTGTTGCCTTACAAAATAAAAGCATAAATTGTCCAAAGTTATTGTTTCAGCTTATTGTTAGTAAAAGTCAATATTATAACTAGACATCAGATTTTTTTATATGCAGATTGGTGGAAAAAAAGCAATTAATAACAATTAATAAAATTGTGTTATTTATAATATCTAACATATTCATACTGCAACATATGTTAAGTATAAATATGTTGGATATTATAGATAATAGTACTTTATATGTAGGAAGAGCAAGGACAGGGTTCGAATATATGTTTACTCCTTGACGACTGACGAGCTACTGTCTTTATTCGTGTGACTTACAATGATTTACAGTACACTAGCGCTAGCTACGTATGTGGCTACTTCCACATACATACGCCGCACATACACTACATCCTTCGCCCTTTTAATATGCATGTAATATATATATATGTGTATATATATATATGCATGTAATACAATACAGTTTTGCGCTATCCAGTGGCGTTGTAACGCTCTACTGGTTTTCTGACTCTTACAGATTTTCTCGTACCCGTTTCTTCTTCAGATTCTTGCGCATTTATTCCGCCATTCCGGTTTTTTGCATTTTTGTTCTTAAAACTGGTCTTTTTCCATTTTCTCATCTGATCGTAATGTCGATTATGCTCCTCCCCATCTTTAAATTTTACCATACAACTTCGAGGAGATAAGTCTTGTATAATTGTAGCTTCCGACATTTTCGGGTGGTATTTTCGAAAATCTTTGGCCATTACTACGTCGTTTTGTTGGAATTTTTCATTGCGATTTTCTATAAAATTTTTTATTTGGTCTTCTTGTTTCAATTCAATAATTTTTTTACTGTCCGGGCGTAGTATATCCAAAGTTGTTCGAAATTCCCGACCCATTAACAATTTTGCCGGTGTCTCGTTTGTAATTGTGTGTTTTGTAGTTTTGTAATTGAACAAAAATCTACGCATGGCGGTTTGTATATCGATGTTTGAACTATTCATAATGGCTTTTATTTTACGTTTAAATACTTTTACAAAATTTTCCGCTGCGCCGTTAGTAGCCGGGTGTTTTGGTGCCGCGAATGTATGTTTAGTTCCTATGCTTTTCAAGAAAGATTTGAACTCGTCGCTTGTAAATTGGGTTCCCGAATCTGTTATTACGTGATGCGGTAAGCCATACGTGTCTTTGAATAATTTGATTGTGAGCTCTGCTGACATATTATTAACTATATATATTTCTGGCCATTTTGAAAAGGCGTCTAAAATTAATAGAAATGTGTGGCCTAAAAATGGCCCTGCGAAGTCGGCATGAATTCTATGCCAAGGCTGCGTTGGGTAAGGCCATGGGGAGAGTGTCATTCTTCTTGGACTATCATTTACTTCAATACAATATTTGCATGTTTTAACTCGTTCTTCAATATAACTATCAATTTTCGGCCACCAAACAACTAACCTTGCCATACTTTTCATTTGAACTACACCAAAATGACTTTCGTGCAATTTTTCTATTATGTCACTTCGTAACTTACTTGGTATTATTACCCTTTGACCCCACATTAAACATTCTTTTTCTGTACTTAATTCGTCACGCCGTAATGCATAAGGTTTAAGTTCTTCTGTCCACGCATTTATTTTACGCTCTGGCCATCTATTGGTTACCATTCGTTTTACAAGCGATAATACTTTATCCTTACTAGTTTCGCGAGCTTTGTAATCTAAACATGTAATTTTGCTTTGAATGGCATAGTGTAGGTAACTGTAACTTGGCACTGAATCTAAAATTTCATTTTGTTCGACATAATTTGTTGGTAGTCTTGACAGGGTATCTGCGACTATGTTGTCTTTAGTTCCTATACATTCTACTTTATAATTGAAAGCTGATAAGAAGTGTGACCAATTTTGCAATCTACTTGCAGCCATTTTTGGTATTCCTTTTTCAGGAGAGAAAATTCGCGATAAAGGTTTATTATCTATCCGTAAAATGAATTCACGAGCATAAAGATAGTCATAAAACTTTGTTATGCCAAAAATAACAGCCGCAGCTTCTCTGTCAATTTGCGAGTATTTTTCTTGCGCCTTCGTTAATTTTGTCGAAGCAAACGCTACGGGCTTTTCCCCATCGGAATACGGTTGGCTTATCCACGCACCTAGCCCTAATGGCGAAGCATCGCATGTCAAAATCAATGGTAACTCAGAATTGTAATTAGTAACTATTTGTTTTAAC